CCCCCCCCTTACGAGGGAGTTGAGGTCCATTCATCATCTAAGTCTAAGGAATGAGAATAGCTTGTCCATTCTGCCGCAGTATCTCCACCACGCCTCTGTCTTTAATTATGTAGGTGACGTTTCCCCCCAGTGGAAAAATAGCTCCTTTGTGAATAGCATTCTCACAAATAAGGTCATTTATCGTCAGAAGTTTGGCCGGGTTCAGGCCATTGTTATTTCCGCAGTTTCCGCATTTCGCTTGGAGAACCACACCTTTGGTTGTGGAGCGGTCTCCAAATCGTTCAGCGCAGGTGGTATTCTGACTCCGATTGTAAATCACGAACTGCCCACGCACGACTCCACCTTCGAGGCATTCGTAAACACCCGTCATTTTCAGAGACACAGAGAGCTGGGAGTTGATTGTGAGAACGTTGCGATCGCTGGAATAGTACGTAGAGCTGTGGTCATAGTCCTCGATCTTCCGACGCCAGGTGACGGTGGTGCCTCGAGACACCGGACACTGCAAAATGTTGACGGAGTTGGCCTTGATGTCTTGGAACTGGTTGTAGACAGGGTTCCCAGGAGTTCCTGTGGAAGTGACGACAGTTGTGGTGGGCGTGTGGGTGTTGGTGGGAGTACTACGCGGGGTGGTCGTAGACGGGGTTGTGCGAGTCGATGTGGAGGTGGTTGGTGGGGAAGTCATTGTGGTCGCTGGTGTCGTGACTGTGGTCGCTGGTGTCGTGACTGTGGTCGCTGGTGTCGTGACTGTGGTCGCTGGTGACGTCACTGTGGTCGTTGGTGACGTCACTGTGGTCGCTGGTGTCGTCATTGTGGTTGCTCGCAGGGCTGTGCGTGTCTTGGAAGAGGTTGAACCCAGGCTTGTGGTGAGCGAGCCGAGAGCGGAGGGCGGCGGGCAGGTGACTGGGGTCGTGGTTGGGCATGTACAGGAAGGCACAGTGGCTGTCTGTGTGCCGTTAATGTACATCATATACAACTTCTCTGTTCTGCCTTCGCTGTTCTCTGCAGTGCACGAATACGGACCCTCATTTTCTTCATGAACGTTGTAAACGGTTAACGAACTGTCGTTATTCACTCTGTAACTCTTGACATTAGAAGGCACATGCCACCTCACTTTGGTTGAATTGTCCTGAGCTACGTCACAGGGCAGATTTATGTCGTTCCGTAAGTCGATCGTGAGGCTCTGGTTCAGGGGTCCCTGAATGAAAGGGGGTACAAGAACCGTGACGTTAAGAGAGTCACTAACTTTAGGACCTAGCTTGTTATCCGCGGTGCACGTATACTGGCCGGAATCGGATTTGCCTGGAGTAGGGACGGAAAGAATACTGTCCCCGCTCGCGTCACGTTTGAATCCTGTCTTGATGTCAAAGGTTGTCGTGTCGTTGGAGAATGTCCAGGTGACGGTAGGAGCCGGCCCCCCTCTCACATGGCACACAAGGTCCATGGTTTCCCCGGGCACGTGGGTCACATTGTAGGTGTAGACTGGGTCGTCAAAACTCGCTGTAGCGGGCCCGGGGGAAGGTTTCGGGGTTGTCGTGTAGGTGCTGGGGTCAACGCCGAGGTCGTTGGAGTTGCACAGATCGTCGTCACAACAGAATGCGTTGTTGGAAGCGAGAGTAGCTGTGGCCGCCGGGCACGACGTAGTGGGCTGGCAATCCAACTGGTAGAAGTTCAAACCTAACTTTTTCTGCAACGACATCGAGCACTGCTGGTCTTGAGAGCAATGCTCTACCGTGTCGCAGTCTTTCGGATGCTGAACAAACCCACAATTTAGGCAAAACTTTCGTCCAGGGTCTCGGATTTTGGTCGCTCCACATCCCTCTACGTTGCACAGAGTTCCGTCGCAGCATTCGCTACACAGCAGCGCTCGATCTACTGCTCGCTTCTTCACCCTCTTCACGCAGTCGGCGGTCGCCTTGCAGCCAGTGGTGTAGAGATCTCCGCCGTTGTTGCTCACTCTCTTCTCTGTGATGCAGGACTCGTGCTCACCACATTGCACCACGTTTAGGCAGATGGCTGGGTGGAAGGCGTCGGCGCAGGCAAAACACCAGGGACCCACGGCCGAGGCGGGGCTCCAGTGGATTATGCTCAAGAGTAGCACTGAAATTGTTGGAAACAAGGGGACATTGTGTCATCGTCTCTGTCCATAATGGATATAATATGCGACACACACACACACATACACACACACACACACACCCACACACACACACACACACACACCCACACACACACACTCACACGTGCGCGCACGCATACATACATACGCACGCATACACA